TGTGCCATTTGTGCTCACTGCTCATTATTTGTGACGTGTGTGTGGATAGTTTGCTCTCTCCACAAGCATGAACGCAACAGAGATGGCGTTTCAAAATACATTTACAGTGCTGTCAAGTCCCTGAAGTACCGTGTAGCAGTCAGGACTGCAGTATGGACTGACAACCAGGTTCATGTCCAGATGAGGCCCTGATCTTTCAGACTCGTGCATATCTCTGTGCCCTCATACAGACGGTAACACAAGGACACTGGGTCTCTGCAAAAGCTTAATCATGTATGAAATAGTTTTGGTTTTGGTTTAGGTTTTGAAAAGTGGTGCGAGAAACTAAAACATTATAACTCTACTTTGGTAATAATACAAAACCTTCAGCATTCATTTACACTTAAATTAAAGCAATCATTATGTAGAACTATATACATAAAAAATTTGCTGATTATTGATTAGTTGCATGTATCTCACTCTAAATGTAAGCTTTATAACATCACAGCATAAAAAATCCCTGGACTTTTATTTTAACATCTGCAGTAAATAATAACTAAAACTAAAGAAACTGTATGAAGTTAAAAAAATGTGTTTGTATTCAAAGCATAGTGGAGTAGCGTACACTGGGCTCTCTGTGCTCAGTGGCATTAACAGGAATAACAGCCGCCCTCCTCTGGACCTGTCGCTGGCTTCTATTCAGTGTTTCTGTGCCTTAAACTGCAGAAATATTTTTATATATTTTTATATGATTCACTTTCAGACTTAAATCAGGGATTCAAGTTGAATCAAGATAAATACTTTTAAATGTCTGTTTTATATTTGGAATCAGATATGTTATGTGTTAGATGTCTGTGTGTATATACTGTACATAAAATACACGTCATGTTTGATCCATACGTGATGTAGCCACATGTGTAACATTCCCCTCTTTGAAGATGTGCTTTGAGAAGTAAAAATGGCATAAATAACGACTGTATTTTCTCCATGGGTGTAAGCAGTTGCATGAGCAGTCTGTTATCGATGAATCTGTCTGTTCTCTTCATGAAACATGATGGCTTGTTTGTAACGTCTCCTCCCTGCACTGCTGTTGTTGCCCTGCAGGTGGCGCTGCTACCACAATCAGCCTGTCAGGATGTTGACTACAGCAGAGTCTGTGGACTAAAATTACAATAAATTAAAATAAGTCACTTAAAATAACTTATGTGTGTAATTTCTTCCTGCTGGGAAATAATTTCCTGTAAAGTTGCTGAAATTAAAAACAGTTTGAATGTTTTAAATTGTGTTTTTAGATTAAATCAGTTTTAGAGTTGTTCCCTGAGGGGAAAGTAATTTATTGTGATTTATTATTTTCTATCTGGTCAACAAAATGAATATAAATATAATTTAGATATATAAGATATCATAATGAAAAAGAAATCTAGTTATCTATTCTAATTCATTTTTATTTCACTTCTCCTTCACTATATCAGCTCTTTTATTATTATTATCATTATTATTTACATGTACAAAAAACAAGCCTCAAACGCCTCATTCCATCCTTGCCGAGCTGAAAGACCCACATTCCCTCATCTCGTCTGCTTCCTGTTAAAGTGGGCCAAAATCCTCCCTGAATGAAGAGTGTTTGTTGAGCCCTGCGCTTGTACTCCAGCTCCTGAGCTTGTTACCACATGGAGTTTTCAGGAAGTCAATTAGCCCTTTTCTGTCATGGTTCATTAGCTTGGGTTGGAGGAACACGCTGACTCCTTACTGACACTGTTATAATAATGTTCAACCAGCAAATCACACCAGGAAGATTTCAAGTGATCACTGATGAAAATTATTATACAAAGAGCTCAAATAGCATCTACAGTCATCCAAACTGAACACTATGACGGTCATATTTTTTCTGTTTATGAACGTATTAGTATAAGTTAGTATAAGTTTGTCAGATTTTTTATTTTTCAGGAAGTAAGGTTATATAAGTAGGTAACGGTGCGTCATGGCTGTCGTCCACTTTACAGCTGAGAGCTCGTTTTGAGGTCACAATGTGGCGAGTATGTTGGAGCATAAACAGATCACATGACAGATTAACAAGAGGTGTTTTTGGTGGGGTTTTATTCTAGCTCGTGGTTTGCTTTATAATGAAGGGAACAGATTTCAGTTAGTTAATATTTAATATAAAAAATTATACAAGTTGTATCATTTCAAACACCACACATATTTTCAGCACAAGTTCACTGCACGACACTCGGCGGCACGAATCAACATATTTACAGTCTGTTTCATCTCTATGACTACTTACACATTCATAACAACTGTGCTTTTTATATTTACCTCTTTAATAACTCACTCGTTGAGTGTGGAAGTTTGCATTATTAGGGGGTGTGGCCTATTTCCACTCACTAGACTGGACTGGTGTTGGTGCCTTCAGGAGCTCACAGATATTATGGATTTTTTATGGATTATTGTATTTGTAGATTGAAGCTCTAGTATTTCATTTTTATGTTATGTTGCACTAATTAGCAGGTTTCTGTGCAATGCACCTGCACCGTCTATGTTGATGTCATCTAATAACTGAGCCCTGCATTATTTTGTAGTTTTGACTCAAAATAAGATGGTCAGTGTGATGACATTCAGGCTTCAGAACTGAGAATTAAAAATCAGACACTGACACTTTATTTTCTACACAGGCGGAGAAAGAACAAAAGGAGATTTACAAATCAATTTACAAATTCACCTCCAGCTGTGAGCACATCCCTGTAGATTTGTCTCAGGCCTCACATCTAAATGGATTTAAAAGAGATCTGAAAAAGTTTACAAAACATTTTCTGAAGTGCCGAGTGTATTCTTCATATTGCATATAGTATACTTGATTATATTGTTCCTGAAAGGCTTTCCTGTCTTTCTTAAGGACACCTACTGTTGATAGTTGGTTCACAAAGGCCATTAAAACTTTGTTTGACTTGTTAAGAAAAAACAAGCACTGCTGCATAACACTGATGTTGCTGTGTGACATCATCAGACCAGATCCTAAACCTGTTGCATCAACTGCTTAAAACAGGACACCGCCCGAGGTGAAGCTTAAGCTAGAAGTCCTCATTAGAGGAGGCCGTCGAACGTCATTGTTGATTTCAGCACGCACCTATGACCATAGAGGATGGATTACCTGGATATTTAACCAATAGGATGTGAGTTGCAACTTGGAGTGAAGTAACTGGACTACATTTGCTGAGCAGAGTTGTAGTGTTTAAACATGTTCAGCAGACACTGGAACGCTGTCAGTAAGAAACAGCTGAGCTTAAAAGTGTCATGACAGGATCAAACTTCAGTCACTGTTTGCTGTGCAAATGACCGTCTGTCAACACACATGCATGTTAAATGTTTTATAAAAACAGGCGTAAGCTTAAAATATTTCACATGAAATCACTTCAAGGGAAAAGTCAGTTTGGAAAGTGAATAATTGAAGTATTCATTTGCAGAACATCAAACCCCGTGATAATAAAACATATGTGGTAAATAAGTAGTTTAGTGGCTTATTTCATGTCAAGACAAACCATAAAAACAAACTACAGAATACAACGCCTCCCCGTAGCAGAAATAAACAAAACGTTTTGGTGTCTGTAGACAAAGTCATACATTTTAATTGTTGAGGATAGTTTTAACCCTGGCTGTTTGCAGAGCAAATCACTCATTTGTGGCATCAGTGCTGTTGGAGGGTTTTTAATTATCTGACAAATAATGTGGCTCGTTGTGCTGTAACTGGACAAGAAGTAAGAGATTAGTTCTTGTTTTATATTTGCATGTGTCAGTGTCACAGCTGTCTGCATCTGTGCACTGCATTCATACAGTTTACAGGTGATGCACTTAGTTGACTATGTTAGCATCCCAACGTGGGCTCACTCACTCTGACCTCTGACCTTCTTCTGGATTGAATGAGGGGACTGATCTAAAGGAAGTTTTCTATCCCCAGTTTTCTTGGATAAAAATCATGGAACTTTGCCCTGAAGCTGCAAGTCTGATTAAAAGATGCTAAGAGGGCGGAGCCAAGATCAGCTCACGTGGAAGACGAGTACCTGCTCTGCAGGACACGACCCAAAACCTCTCCCATGTTCTCTCTCAGTGTCTGCATCCAAACAGATCTAATGTCCTGCTCTCCTGCACGTCTGTGTACTGCTGATTTTATTTTATTTTTTCCCATAATAAACCTATAGTAAAGGAGAAAGGCTGCTTGATTTGAAGAATTGAATCTTTATAAGGAACTTGAATCTCTTCCAGTCTTGAAATAAAAATGCAGCATCAAAATTTTAAATTTTGAGACAAAACCTTTGCATTTGACTCTTGATCCACTTTCCGTCCGTGCCTTTGCTGTGTGTCAGGTGTGACGCGCGTTCAGCCTGACCTGCACTAATTCCCTAATGAGATTGCCCGTCCCCGGATATCCTATTAGACCCTGATTAACTGGGCTCAACTCATTAGCTCCTTCAAACCAATTCACCCCTTCTGTACTCCGCCTCAGTCCATCTCTCCATTCCTGCGCCCGCATCCAAAAACATGCAGTGCAATGTCAGGAATCAAGGCACCAATGTCACCTCTCTGCAACCACAGGGCATTCAAAGCATACGTACCAATGCACCAATTAATAAAACTACTTTGTGGATGGGTTAAAAAAGAACAAACAGCTGTGGAAATTAAAATGAACATTCTTAACTGGCGTTGTCTTATATTTTGTTGAACCTTTAATAGGATAAATTAAACACAAAAAGAAACCACTGCTCTGTTCGTGGAACCAACTTTGTGCTCTGAAGAGTTCCCATCTTCTTGCTTTAGACAAATCTCTGTGTTTGTCTTTCTTTCCTTCAGTTTCCTCTTGTGCTCTGACATCTGTTCCCTTCCTCTTCTTGTCTTGTTCTTGGATTTCTTCACCTCTTCTCATCTTTTGACCTCATAACCTGATTTTCTCCCTTCAATCGCTTTACCTACCTCCTCTCGCCACGCTCCCTTTCCTTTTTCCTCTCTCTCTCCTTCCCTGTTTCCATCGTTGAGCCTTATCCCTTCATCACTTATCTCCTTCATCCCCTCCAATCCTCATCTGTTCGTCACCGTGGAGGAAGGCTCAGACTTTTTCACTAGTACAGCCACTAGCAGTCAGCCGGTGGAAGCTGAAACGGCTCAAAGGGGGAACACAGGTGTCTGCGATCGGGAGCTGCACAGGTGCAGAAAAAGAGAAAAGGTGAGTTTCAGCATTTCTGGTGCTTCTTTGTGACAGTTTAAAGTTAAGGAATGCTGCTGGGGAACAGTTAGAGCTGCTTTGAGTCAGCTGTGGGGACTCATCATCTTTCTATGTCACCGTTTGAAGAAGAAAAGTGGAGTTCGGCTTTTTATTATTTGGAAGAACAGGAAGTGAACTTTTGCAGTGCTGTGCCACCAAAGCAAAAAGTGATCAGCAACTTTGGGGATTTTCTGTATTTTCTGACACATGATTTGATCAAATTCAGGATATTTGACCAGTGCAACTTGAGTTAAGTCATCAATTTCTTTCAAACAACAGAATAACTTGTCACTGCATCCTTAAACCCTCTAAAGGTGATCTTTGGATTGTAGCAACTCTGCCAAAGAGGATTGGAGCTTCAGGTGGAGCAGCAGTAAGCTGCAGCCTGGTCGGTCACAAAGAGCTAAACCTCATCCAGCTCACTTTGTTTGTGGATATCTTTGGTGGTAGCAGGTGGTCTGCTAATCAGATGGCTCAATCCATGAGTGTAATGAGTCAACTCATGACTCCTCCAGTCCGCACATTAAAGTGTGCGTGCAAGAATAACACACTGACAGGAGGTTGTGGTGTTAAAATGTCCTTATGGTGGTGGAGAGTGGTGTAATAAGGTTTCAGATTTTCACTGGCTTTAAGCTCTGGAAAATGGCCGCATGTGTTTCATTCACATGTTGAACAATAAGTGCACCTCAAATGAGTAAACAGGACAGTAGAGGAGGAGCAGTTTTTGGTCTTGACTCTAACAGAAGCTCCATTTCTTCTATTGTCCACGCCGCAGTCCCTCCCTCTCACTCTGATCTCAGGGTAAAGAGCAGTCAGCAATCAGATGACAGGAGATTTGACCGCTAAAGCTTCTCTTAAGCTGTCCTGCAGGGATTTAAAGTCCTGTAGAAACCCATCCCAAACTCCCCTCACCTCTGCCCCCACCATATCCTCGACCTTCCATAGTGTATGTGCAGCTGCTACCTGCACATAGACTGATGCAACCGTTCACTTGTGCTAATCAGTGGACGTTTATTCTTAATCATGTCTCATGCTTCTGTAAAAGCTCCTGCATGTTCCTGTGTGACTACTGTGCAAGCTCTACTCATGGTTTGTGACTAACAAGTCAGGCAAGGTTAAAACTCTAGCACAACTCTGGAAGTTTTAATATTCCTCACTGGAATCTCTGTGTTTTGCATTAGCAGTAATTTTTACCTCACTCATGGGGGTTCAGGCTTTTAGCTCGATAGTTTGATGATGTGCAGAAACGTGCACACAGTTAATCGGTGTTCAGTTAGTCAGTCATCAGCATCCTGTTACAGAGTATTAGCCGAACACTTATTGTAAACACTAAGTTTCAAAGTAAAAGAACAAACCAAGAAAAACGATGACACTGATTGGAAATAACAGCTTTTCTTTTATTGTTGTTTGTTTTTTCAGCTTCTGACCGTTAACTTTTAGCTGTTTGACCTTGATGTAGGTGATGTGATGTAACATGATGTAACCTGAGGGTTTAAAGTTTTACACTGGAAGGGTGTTGGTGAGGTCAAAATGGACACTGAAGTTAAGGCAACCATAAATTCCTTACAAGGAAGATTCAACACTGATCCAACTCTTTAAAACCGTAAAGAATAAAAGGAGTCAGTTAGTAAAAACTAAAGACGTGTATTTTATCCTCTAAATCACACAAAAATAAATGTACTAAGTGCCCTTTAGACCTTTAGAGTAATGTAATTGCTTCCTTCTTTCCTAAGTCCTACACATCTATCCTTCATTCCTCTTGTCCTCTTTTACCCATTGTTGATTCTGTGCCTTGCAGAATGTTTCCCCGTCTTCTTTAATACTTCTAAACGGTTCCCTTCCTCTCTTTGTTCAGGGACAGCTGACACCTGAGTGTCTAATTGTTTCTGTAGACTTGGTGGTGCAACAAGAATCGAAGCGTTCCAGTTCAGGAATCAGGGTCACTGAGTGGTACCTACTTTATTTCACAGCAGGGTCAAACGTGAGGATACGTTTGGCTGGGAGTCATTCCACTAACAGCATTAACATCTTTCACAATGAGCTGCAACAAACATCCAAACATTGCTGTCTGTGCAAATATGTCTAGTCCACATGTGGACTTCAGAATATTTTCCAAGTAAATAATAATATTTTTTTGCGTTTTTCCCCATTTCCTATTCCTCTCAGTGTCGTTTGGTTTTTCATCAGTAACATCAACAAACAACTCTCGCCATGGCAGCTGAGAAGGCTGAAATGGATGCACTGAAAAAGGAGTGTGATGGCCTCCGTGCACAGATTGAGGTGAGCGTTTCCTGTGGGAGGAAGTTCCAGGTGTTTTTATCTTCAACACCATAAAAACAATCCTGATTTCACCCCCGTGACACCATATTTTTCATATTATCTAGCGTGGATATTAATGTTATTGTATTTATTTAACACTAACCTCAAGTAATCAGTCTTTCTCCATCCGTCACGTGACAGATATGCATGTAATCTTTTGATATTCAATTCAATTCAGTTTTATTTATATAGCACCAAATCACAACAGCAGTCGCCTCAAGGCGCTTTATATTGTACAGTAGATCGTACAATAATAGATACAGAGAAAAACCCAACAATCATATGACCCCCTATGAGCAGCACTTTGGCAACAGTGGGAAGGAAAAACTCCCTTTTAACAGGAAGAAACCTCCAGCAGAACCAGGCTCAGGGAGGGGCGGGGCTATCTGCTGCAACCGGTTGGGGTGAGAGAAGGAAGACAGGATAAAGACATGCTGTGGGAGAGAGACAGAGGTTAATAACAGATATGATTCAATGCAGAGAGGTCTGTTAGCACATAGACACATGTGTATATACATACATATCTGTCTGTCTGAGTCACTGTAAGTTCAAAACAACAGGAAAATGTTCAGGATGGGGGTAACATGAAAATAAAATAACAGCTGCACTTTCTGTTTGCCTTAATAATCATATTTATTTAAACATGTTTCACTAGACAGGTAAAAACTAATAATTATAGAGGATGGACCCATGGTGCGTATATTACCCTTGTGAAGAGGTTTCTTTTGATTGCAGATCTTACTTACTCTTAGTCTTTCCTTTATAATTTGTGGAGGTTAATTAGCCTTAGTGGAGGACTTAGTGGACCTCCTTCCTTTTTCCTAATGCTAGAATTGCTGTGATGCCATCGCAGAGGAAAGGAGTGAGGAAAAACACCGACTACACAGAGTTTTTCCTTTTTCCAAACCTGTAATTCTCTGTGTGACCAATAGGCGGCCCGCAAAGCTGTGAATGACGGCAGCATGTCTGCAGCAGCATCAGGGGTGGCCTCAGTGGGTCGGGTCCAGCTGAAGCTCAGGAAGACACTCAAGGGTCACCTGGCTAAAATCTATGCCATGCACTGGTCAGCTGACTCCAGGTGAGGATGAAAGGGTGGCACGTTTGTGTAAGAAAAGAGCAGCTCTGTAATCAAATTCAACAATAGGTTGTATATGAATACTCGTTTCACCCCTTTACTTTTTAAAAACCTCTATTTAATGCTTAAAAAACGTAATATGTAAATATAACATCGCCTGTTTGACAGTTTGAAGAAAACACCTGTAATATTAAAGAAATACTGAAATTACCTGATTTATTTGTATGTGCTGTAATGAAAATGAATGTGTGTCTTGAAGATTATAAACTGCTGATTTTTATCCATATTAATGTGTGTTTTTAATATGTTTGTAACTTTGACATCAGAATTTGCAGGATGCAAACATTAGTTGTGATAACAGCCAAACTATTTCGCATGTGAACAAACTTTAGATGCAGAAACGAGATAATCTCCAGCATACATTCAATCCATGTGAATTAAAAAGGCACGATAGTTACTGCTACACGACATGGCTTTTCTAACAGCCACAGAAATATTCATCATTAGTGAGACATTATCTCACTGAGATGTTTTTGAAATCTTTAATTTAATGAAGATTGAAGTGCTCTTCAAACACAGTGACACTTCCTTTCTGTCACAGGCAGATGGTCAGTGCATCACAGGATGGAAAGCTGCTCATCTGGGACTGTTTCACAGGGAACAAGGTAGGACTGCATGGATATGTCATAGTTAATCTGAATGTGCAGGCATGTTATTTGTGGAGTGCAATATATAATAGACCAAGTAAAACGAACCATACACAACCTGCAAAATAAGACAAAAACTGCATATTTACTCTATGAAACAATCAGTCATCAACTGCTAATTTCATTTAGTAAGTTAGTAGTTTTTAGTTCATGTTCTTTTAGACGTATCAACAATGACTAACACAAATGGATAATAACAGAAACTGAGAACAAGTGTTAAAAACAAAAGAAGAGAAGAACAAGGAGAAAATGTTCAATCTGAGCTTGGAGCTCAGTATTTATTTAGTACATCCCAACATAATTAGATTACCCAGTGAGCAGATTTCAGCAGTGAGCTAATTAGCCAATGGATGAGCAAGCTTCAGAGTTTGAATTCATTTCTGAGCACCCTTCAAAGCACCCCTGTTTGAGGGTCAGTGCTTTACAGGAGTCCAGAAACAACTGGTCTGTTGTGATGAATCTTCACAAACATTTGTGAAAATCTCTTCATTTACATTTAGCATTTTGTGTGTTTTGACTCTACTTTGACTGTTCATCTGCTTTCCTGCGGTGACTCAGTGAACCTATTTCTAAAGCAGTAAACAAAGATGAATAGTGTCACGATAAGCTTGTTGTTGCTGTTGCAGTGGTTCCTCGCAGGCCTTTAGGCCTGAGTGGAAGCACAGACAGCCAACAGGAACATCGTCTCTCCAGCCTTCAAACGCTGTCCATGCTTGTTAAACCGCAGAGCTGCAACCTCCTGGTTGTTTAAACTGAATTCCCTCTTCCCAGTTGGTTGCTGTTCCACTGAAGTCTGCTTGGGTGATGAGTGTCGCCTTCGCCCCTTCTGGTAACCTGGTGGCCAGCGGTGGTCTGGACAACATCTGCACAGTTTACAACATCAAGGCGGCCAGCCCCAAAACCCTCAGAGAGCTGGACGCACACACAGGTGAGGAGGGAGCTTCCTTTAAATGCCTTCAACTTACTTCACAGCATCAAAACCAATGAATGCATGCACAGCCAACCTGAGACGCTCGCAAAACTCTCTCTCGCCCAGGTTACCTGTCTTGCTGCCGTTTCCTTAGCGATACTGAGATCCTGACAGCCTCCGGTGACACCACCTGGTGAGTTTAAAGTTTGTGTTTCTTAGTGTTTGATGTCAGTCATTTCTATCAACCCACCTACAGTAGTGAACATAACTATCATATCTGATATCATATCTCACAGTACAATAATATTGAATGGGTTGCATTGTTGTACTTTGTCATGTTTCTCAGGTCTTTGTCTGAATTTCTACCAACATTACTTGTCATGTTCTCATGTTATTGCTAAGGGTTGTCTATTGCATTGGAGTCACACTGGGTTAAATATGTACACTTGGGTTTTAAGGGGTATTTATTATTTTCTTTTTTTTGGGGTTGTATGGAAGCCCCAAACGCAATTTCATTGTTCTTGACAATGACAATAAATAAATACTAAAACTAAACAAGGGAAAAAGAGCAGCTTTTAAATCAGTATTAAGGCTGTGCATTCCTCCATTAGCCTGAAGGTATTAAAAAAAACATGACACTTGTTCACCAATCATGTGCTCTATGGTTTCTTCATATTACCACATACTATAGGCAATATTTCTAAAATGTAAAGGGGAAGTGCCTTAAACCTGCACTCTTTCTAATGACCAGTGGGGGGCGGAGCCAGTCGCTGCAAATTGCTGGCCCTCACGTAGCCTGGTTTTGTCCTGTTTTTCCTTCACACTGTTGCCAAGTGTTTGTACAGAGGGTGTTGTCTAATTTTTTTGGGCTTTCTCTGCATTATTGTAGGGTCTTTGCCTTACGCTACAAAGCACCTCGAGGTGACTGTTGTGATTTGGTGCTATATAAATTAAATTAAGTTAAATTAAATTAAAAATAAGTCATATTTTATAAAAGTCTATAAGAAAAGGACTGTAGTTGTCACTTCATTATGATCCCATGAAACTCTCTCAGTGTGTTTATTGAACATGTTGTATGGTTCAGAGAAAAATGGACATGTGCACACGGTGTCCTACAGGGCTCGGCTACCGTAGCTACCTGTGTGCATGTCGTGTATTTCATCAGGCAGATGTCTCTAAACAGTTAAGATGGAGATAACATTAATCTCAGATCATTGCTTGAAAATATGAATTAACAAATAAATTAATGTTATTTGTTAATTCATATTAACAAAGATGCAAACAAACTTAGAGCTGTCATCAAGAAATTAGATTTGAGGTAAGCTAAAAAGACCTGAGACAGTTAATCAGAACGCCGTCTGGTCTAAAAACCCCTGATTTGTGTCTCTGTCTTCTTCCTCTCATCTTCAGCTGTCTGTGGGACCTGGAGACCGGCAAGCAGAAGGTCATCTTCACCAACCACATTGGGGACTGCATGTCGCTGGCTCTCTCCCCCGACATGAACACCTTCATCTCTGGAGCCTGTGACTCTCTGGCCAAGCTGTGGGATCTGAGGGAAGGCGCCTGCAAGCAGACTTTCTCCGGACACACCAGCGACATTAATGCCATTTCTGTGAGGATATCCCAGAAACTCACAACACACACACACACACACACACAAATCACACTATTTCTACTCTATAGGGGGACAGTTGTGGTCTGAAGGCTGCCTTAGCAAAACTATTTCCTCTTGGTTTAAAACTCAAATGCTTCTTCTCGTCCCACTTGTAGTTCTTCCAAAGTGGTAATGCCATCATCACAGGCTCCGATGACTGCCAATGCAAGATGTACGACCTGCGCTCCGACCAGGAGGTGATTTGCTACCAGGACGCCAGCCTGAACGCCGGGGTCACATCTCTGGCTCTCTCCAGCTCAGGCCGCCTTATCTTTGCAGGTTACGATGACTTCAACTGCCACATCTGGGACTCACTGAAGGGAGAGAAAGTCGGTGAGCAGAGTTTATTCAAAATTACTTAAATTTAAATATGTATATCTTATGGATGGATGGATATCTTAATTTATAGACTTTTAAAAGGGAGCATAGGGAGTGAAGTTTTCATTAACGTTGGTGCTCTTCCACATGTCACCTGTAGATGGTGCTGATGCACTATTTTTATGATCTCTCTGCTTCCAACGGAACAGTTCATTAATTTTTTTTCAAAAATGAATATTTTATTTCTTAAAAAAGAAAATACATTTATTTCCTTTGCTGTTTCCAATTCGTCTCCTAAATTTTTTCATTTACTCTCTTTCCTTGCCGTCATTTTTTTCCTTCCCTTGCTTCCTCTCTTCCCCATGCTGTTTTCCCCTCTTTTTTCTTTTCCTTTCCTTTAATTAATCATTTCCACCATTTTCCCTTTGCTCTTTCTCCTTGTCCCCTTTCTTCTCTGCCGTTCTTTTTCTATTTTTCTATTTTTGGTGTTGTCCTTACATGTTGTTCCATTTTGTTGTTTGCTTACACTCCACTCTACTTTCTACGGTCACTTCATGTTATTCCCTTTTTTCCCCAATGTTCTTTCTTCTCGTCTTTAATTCTCCTTCCTGTATGTGCTTCACTCACTCATCTTTTTCCTTTACTTCCCCTCTTTTCTTGTCTGCTTCCCACTCTTTTCTTTTCCATGTCCTCTCCTTGAATTTCTTCTTTTTCTTTCTATATTTTTCTTTCGTCACTTTCATATGATTTTTTCCCCTCCCTGATTTTTTTGGCCTTTTTAAGTTTTTTGTTCCATTTGCTCTTCTTTGCTTTCCTCATATACTTTGTTCTTGTGATGTCTTATTTTTGTTCCACACTTTCTCCTCTGTTTGTACTTTCCACTCTTTTTGTTTTTCATTGACTCATCTTTTGCCTTCTGAGCATCTTTTTTTCCTTTTCTTTACTCTCCTTTTAATTTCTCTGTCATAATTACTTTTATTCACTCATCTCCATTGCTTACAACCATGACCTCTTACTTCTGCACTCTTTCATGTCTTTTATCTTGTTGTACAACACCAGGCGTGCTCTCCGGTCATGACAACAGGGTGAGCTGCACCGGCGTCCCTGATGACGGTATGGGCGTCTGCACAGGATCCTGGGACAGCTTCCTCAAACTGTGGAACTGAGGCGTCCCTGCAGAGAATAACACCAGGAGACGAAGAAGAAACGGAGCAGGACGAGAGGAGAGGAAAATAGTGGCAGAGAAGTGAGGCTGGAGATTTGGTGCAGATATTTGACCTTCCTCTCTTTCTTTTTCCCGCTCTGCTTCTTCCTCATACATGTATGCAAATTTTAAAAGGTTGCGAATGAGTCATATTGTGCATATGGCATCAGTTAAACAATGCACGATGCATCCCACTGCATGTACAAGAAAGCTTTACTGTGGATTTATTTGCTGAAAAAAGTAAATCTTAAAAAAAATAGATTATTAATCAAAACGGAGCGGAAAATAAGCTCTTATTGAAAATGATAAAAAATCTCTAGATTTTCTGAAAATAACTGAATAAAGAACAGTAAATAATGAAAATATGAAGATAGAGCTACAGATTTATTTTTATTGTCTTCGAGGTCTTTGACCTTTTAAAAGAGCACTGCAATCATCTAGAAGAAAAAGACTGACATGTATATTTATTTATATTTTATAGATTAACACATTAGAAAAGTCTATGTACAGAGTCTCTTTGTTGTATCTGATCTGTTTGCTTTTTTGGCTGCACATATTCTGAGTGTGTATTTGTATGGTTGAGCTGCTTTCTCGGGTCCCATATTACCACCAGCTGACTTTGATCCAAGATGGCTGCTTTCCCCACTTCACAGGTAAAAAAAACACTGATGGACTCGTGGATGATGGTTTGAAGGTGGAACCTGGCTGTGAGAGTGGCTGTAAAACACTCCTGTAAGCTTTCTTTACTCCTCTGGCTTCAGCTGCATTTTGTTGTACTTTTAAACTTGAGCAGTTCCTCTGTACAAAAAAATACAAGATTTTTGTTGGAAATCTTTCTAATAAACATAGAATTCTGCATTAAGACTGTGTCAGAGTCTTTGTGTTTCAATGACAAGGTCTGACCTTTAGTTATGAGGGTTAGTTTTAATTTCTTACATTAACATGCACATACAGTCCTCCAGAATCTAGACTGGTCCCTGCAGCTGTTGCTCTCGTCATCAGAGGGCAAAAATGCCTGGAGGGGAATCTCATTAGAGGTCAGCACACCTCAGTAATGTGAGTCATACCTGCAAACAGCAGCAGGGTAGACACAGAGATGCTGGTGCAGAAATGAAGCTCTACAGTGAACGAGGAGGTTTGAATTGTCTCCAGACAAAGTGCTGATGTTCTGCATCACATGTACTGGAATCAGAAAATAAGTAAAAGTATGTAACACTGATTTAAACAGAACACTGATAAAAACTGCAAAGTGCTTCACAAAAACACAAGAAAAACACAAGTAGATTCATAACATAAAACATAATAAAATACAACATAAAACATCAAATTAATTACAAGCTTGTAAAAAAGTCAGTGGAGTCTCTACAGCACAAAGACAATTTCTCAACTTTGACAGTGAAGCCAACGGCGACTTTTGACCTGATGACCTGTAAGCTCAATGAGGTTCCTCACAGTGACAGACATACTGAGGGAGTTTGACCATGTAGGACTAATAGGTTTGTAGCATAAACCTATTCGCTGGAACGTTAAGGACAATGTAATTACACAGCAAAGCAAGACACGAGTAGGCAAAGTTCTTTATGTTTCTCGTGCACAGGAGAGAAGTGAACAAACGCCGTCCCTTCGCTTGACCCCAGTTGCTTGTGAATGCCAGAACACTCTGGAATGCACACAAAGCCTTTGCAGACTATAAAGGATCACACATCCTATCACTACACAATCGATTATACACCTCTAAGCATATATGGTTAAATATTTCTAAGCATAAATGACAATCAACAATATAAACCTAACAAGGATCCTAAAAGGAAAAACTAAAACTTTAAAGTAAATCCTAAAATGTACAGTCAACCAATGAAGACAACGACCTGATGGATGGATGACCATGATGAAGGCCACGGGCCGAAACAGCCTTGGTCAAATAATAAAGCTGTTCTTTATACTATAAGTGTTGCTGGAGCTTCAGACCCTTGTTCTTCTCTATGCACTTTGGGCGTCATTGAAGTTGTTCCAGAAAACCTCCATTCTTTTTCAGAAAATCAATGAAGAGAAGCTAAATAAATAAATATATATA